AGTCAGTCGAGTGAGAAAACAGATCCATCTTATCATCATATAATATAAAAGATATCCAAAAAAAGACAGTATTATTATTATTTCTTTATTTTTTATATCTTTTATATCCTCGTTTTTATATTCCGTGCTTTCACTATTCTTTTTTACATGTGTATTTTTATACTAATGTTTGCACTATTTCTTATATGTACATTTTTCTTTCTAGCATGTGTGTATCTTTGTGTGTACTGCTGCTGACTACCCTGTGAATTTTTCCACTCTGAGATAAATAAAGGCATATCTTACCTTATCTTATCAGTTTATTTGAATATGTAGCTACTTATAAAGGGTCTGGGTGAAATTCTAACTAATAGACATCACTATGTTGCTTACTTATGAAAAAGCTTCAGTAATGTTATTTTTAAAAATGGAAATGAGATTGTATTTACATGTATGAAAATGCCCTAATTTGCATTATTTTGCAGAACAATAATCTGAACACAGGATTTTTAGTTTTAACATATTGGAGTACAAGGTTTTTACAAGGGGGATTTTTCAAAATCTATTTTACCATTAAGTAAATCAGAAAATACTGTTGAGAGACAGAAAAAATAAACCCAATGTTGCAATGTTTTTAGGAATAAAATGCAGGCTATGAATGATGTATGAACAAAGCCCTCTAGCAGAACCTTCAGGACATAGATCAAACTAAATGAAACTGTATGTAAGGTCTAAAGAAGTGGCGCATTCTGCCTCAGAGTATGAGATAAAGGTCTTTAAAGATATATATTAGAATTAAAACACAAGGTACAGTAAAATAAACTTCGAAATATGTATTCTGGGTGTTGTCTTTTCCATTAGTCTGAAAGAAGACGCTGGAAAATATTTGAAAAATCTCAAAAGAAAATATGTATTTGCCTGTAGTGTCTCAATTTGTGACAAATAATTGGCAAAAAATGTCTAAAGGGACATATTTTAATCAAGTATAATAAAGATTCCTGTATGCGGGCATTAAAATTAGCGTCCAATGAGAGTAAATTTATATGAATGATGTGGAACATTTGCGTGTCTATCCCCAACCAATCTGTGAGCATTAATATTCGAGACTTTTGTTAAAGAGGAACAGCATAAACTTCTAGCTGGTTGAGTCACATGAGTCAACAGAAACCACTTAAAGAACAGAAGTGAATTCATGTGATAAAGCACTAGAGGACAAGCAAAAAGAAAAAAAAAGGTTGCTTTGTCAGCATCTACATGTGTGATTTTTTCACAAATAGCACTGAATTATATAATTGTTTTCTAGTGATACAATAGATAGCATTGTTGCTAACATGTAAGGCCCCCCGGCACAAACTAAGGATGAATGAATTTGGAATACCATCCAAAGCAAAACATGTAATAATCGAAGCAACTTTTATAAATGTGAGCGGCAGATTAATGTGTATTCTTGATCAATTTGAATGAAGAATTAGTGGAATTGATGTTATCTGTCACATTTTTATTATAAGTCTATGTAGTCATATAAATATGTCAAAATATGCCATCTACGTTATTACACAATCATCTCACGTAAAGAAGGGATGGTTTTTCATATTTAGTCTATTTCAATACAAAAAGACACACTGGTACATTTTTTTACTTCGAACTATTCAGATTTATTGAATTCAAGTGTTGCACTGAATTCTGGAGTAAAAAAAAAGATCAGAAAGTCTGTCTTTTGCATCTGTTGTACTAAAAGAAGCAGAATGAGTTACAGTTTTTCCCAGATTCATTTCGTAACAGCATTCATGGCTGAGGAGAGTAAGCCAGTGTTTTGCATCTTTCCCTGCTGCTCGAAACAAGGCAATTTAGGACAATTACAGTTTAAGCTGAAACCTATACTGCAGACTATGCTGAAAATCTATTGGACTCAAATTAGTCTAAATCAGTATCAAAGCAGACACATTTGGCCACTATCTTAGCCTTTAGCCAAGACAAACGTGTTGTGCTTTCACTATGTTTGCACTATTTCTGATATTCTGATATTTATATGTACATTTTTTATTTTTTGTTTTTTCCTGTGTCGTATCTGTGTACGTCTGTTGAAAGCTGCTGTCAACGATGTGAATTTCTCCACCGTGAGATTAATAAAGGCATATCTTATCTTATCTTATCTTATCTTATCTTCATTTCATTGCATCATGCATGCACCGACCTATACTGATTGTTGTGATATATTCATGCAAACACAGGCTATGTGAAGATGTTGCTAAGCAACCTAAAAATAATCTTAAGGGGATAAAAGGGAGGGTGAGCGAAGAAAACAGCCACGCACTGCAGTACACAGAGGATGGATGGCATCGTGTTTATCACCACTGAGGAAGCCAAGAATCCAGTTTGAAATCTGAATTTATCAAACACGAAGCGCGCAGTGACCACTGTCAGTATGTTAGCCAGAATCAGGAGGCTTTTCTGCAAGATCAAAGTGCTCTCTTAGTGGTGGCCGACATCAAGGGAGCCTGAGGGGTGAATTAAGGGTCCCGAAGCCCTTTAGCGGACCTGACTGGGAGCCAAGGGGCCAAAACATGGCCATCTGTCTGCTCGGACTGCCTCTGCAGGGGGTCTGCACAGATTGGAGCAGACTTTACAAACATGCCTCGGCCCTCTTACAGCTGTGCGTGTGGAGGTCAAGCCCTGGCAGCGAGGACATGGTGTGTGTTTGTGAATAAGAGGGGTGTGTCTGTCTTCACAAGTCCTGATACAGATTTTGGAGGCGTTCTTAAGGAAATAAGAACATTAAGGCAATAAAAATAGTGGGATTCAGCAAATATAATGCAAAGATGCTTCATGAAAATGAGTGTCAGTGAAGCATCTGTCAGATCAGCAGCACCAGACAGACACACAGTGTGTTTGTTAAGCAGCTGACAAAACTCAACTCAGCATCACAAAACAACATCACACACAAGCATTTGCCAAAGGCGTGGTGCTCCTATTCTGATTCACATCATGTTTTGCCCCCGTTTTTTTTTTTTTTACGAGACAACCATGTTTTTCCATCCAGATGTTCAGCCAATGAGGAGTCGGTGCTGTTTCCAGTGAAGGAAGGAGGCGGAGGAAGGAATGCTGCAGGATGCTTATTATTATGGCTGTCAAACCCAGTGGCGACTCAGATAAAACATCATTTTACATGTGAGATTTACGAGGACGATGTGCACCATGTCGGCTGCAGCTGTCGCGGCGTGGCTGGGTACGGGTACGTATCGATTAAACTCGGAAAATATCACGACGTTTTGCCCCGTTCGCCTTTGATGCGGCGCTCGTGCTAGTTAGCTAGCTAGTTAGCCGTAGCCGCTCTGCTCATTTTTTCCAGGAGGCTGAGGAGGAGACACGGAAAAATGGCTACCAGCTGAACCGTTATAAGAACAGAGAGCCTAAATATCACAGCAAAATGACATAAAAGTGATGCATTCTACATTACCTTATATTTCCAGCGGAGTTAATTATAGCGTTTGTATTGCTAATTATGTTTGTTGCCTGAGCCCCCCTCGCGCAGGCCTGAGCTCATTTGTGCACCAGGTGTGTTGATAATGCCTAATTACGCAGCTAATGTTAGCTTAGCAACTTAAGATGTCCTAATGTGCAGGTAGGAAACAGTTAAAGTCGTGTCAATAAGATGCTGAATTATGTGACATCTGCACAGTGGCAGCGTTTGATATGTTGGAGCTGTCTATCACCTGGTAAACATTTTGTGTTTGTTTGTTTGTTTTAACACAATGCTCACTCCCAGTTGCCAATTACTTAAGTTCACATATCTACAACTAATACAGTCTATTACCACATAAATCCATAAAGGTTATAGTGGTTCAATTTTTGTTCAGTCATTGTTCACCCTGAGTTCTTCATGACCATAAACCATTCCTGAAATCCTTAAAGATTCATTAATGTAATTAAAATCATGCTTTTATGCATGGTGCAGCTAACAACTTTCTCTGTTTTCTTAATTTATTACCTATTTGGTCAGAAAACAGCCTGTAGTGATTTCTGACAGCCCAAGGAGTGATAATGTCAGTTCATAAGCCAAATATATTAAATTTTACCGTCCTATGTGGTGATTAAAAGCATCAGATTTTCAAGAAGCAGGAACCAGTGAATGTTTTTGAATGTCTATAGCAACTAATCAGTTATCTGGAACCTGAATGGTAGCTGACTAATGGATTACTCCAGTAATCTACAGATTTGTACATCTTTACAGTATTAGGCTCTAATGATGTCCTTGCAGTAGAGGTCGACCGGTCGGGGTTTTTTCATTGCTGGCTAATACCGATTGTTAGCAATCAACGTGACACACAACCAATATTTGGAACCAATATGCATATTTGGAGTAAAATTTGTGATCTTTTTTGAGTCAAAATTTAGAATAACTCTGACACTAAAGTGTATTTATTTATGTTTTACATGTGGTTGTTAATGGGTTATAAATCGTGACATTGCTCAGTAAGTGGGACATGGCTCAAGATCACTATATGGTCACTATGAACAGAGAAGTGGCTACCTCAAAATGTTACTTATTTTAAAATTTATTTAGTTTATCGGGAAACAGTTACAAAAACAACAGTCGGAAAAATGCTAAACGTTGGATCTGATAATCAGCCATAACCCAGGCTTTGATAAATAGTCATAGTTGATTCACAGCCGTGCTGCTAGAGTTGAAACTGACATCAACAAAGTGAGACGCGTTATGCCAGGGTCAGAATACATTAATGAGTTGTTGCTAAGCTGTGAACTGTGCAGATCTCTCAGGCCATGCAAAACAGGTTTGCTGCTGCTTCCTTGGTCAAAACAAAGAGAAGCACAGTTCAGTTTCTAAGCACCAAATATCCAAAACAATGTCCCAGAAAATGTTTTTTTTTAAAGCAAGGCTTAAATTCTTTTCAGTGTTTATAAATGAAGGGCAATTTATCTACATCTCACTGACTGTAATAACAATATTTATACTCTTTGTTTTAAACCTTATATTTTTTGCGATTGACCCTTTTTTTAAATCTTAATGGCTTTTAATATTTTATCTAAGGCTCTTTAAGTTGCCTTCTTGTAGAAAGGTGCAATATCTATCTGTCAATTTTAGGTGTGCAGTAAATTTGAAGGTCATTTTGGAGACGACCACGTTTTGTGGTGCTGTTGAGTAACCCTGGGAGGTGCTTCATGTATTTTGTCAACCTCATTTATAACCAATAGTAGATCAAATATTAGGACATCTACAGGTTACAACATGACCATAAAGTTAAATCCACACTTCTGTTGAACAACAACATGACACTATAACCTTTGCAAAGGTAGGATTTACTGCAGAATGAGCATAATAGACTGCATTAGGTTTAGCTTGATGTACTTAAAAAACTGGCAACTGGGTGTATTGTTCATAATGTTGTTGAAAGTCACACCTGTTCCATTCATGCTTTCATTCATTGATCCAATAGTTTACATAGTGCATGCCTATGATACGAAACGCAGCGCTTTACATGAGAGAAATGTCCGTGTGGAGCAATCCGTGGCCTTGAAGCAGAGAACAGCGCTGTACCGAGATGGTGAGTGGGTGTGTGCAGCGGTGCACTTCATGTGTTGACCCGCTGTTCCCTCCCCCTGTTATAACACAGTGACACGCTCAGCTGGCTCCCCATTAATACTGGCATTATTGTTTTGAGTTTTTTTTTTTTTTGCTGTCCCTCAGACTTGGCCCACTTTCTTTTGCTGTAACAGCAGTTTACTGATTTTAAACCTCGTCCTCGTTAGAAGTAGACTCATTTTAAATCATTAACTGTTAGAGAAAGTTGGATTTCTCTTTCTGTTTAACATCTTACTGGTACGTTACAGCCCCTGAAACCTTTCCGCAGTCATTTTAGACAAGTCAGTGATTTACTTACCTTTATGCAGAGCTAGATGATCGAACCGGCTGTTTCGTGTCCACTCTCGTCCTTTGCCGTCGCCTTCTGCGTGTTGTGACACCAACTGCTTTCACTTCCATGTCTGAGTACAGAACAGCAAGCCTCAAACGCATCACAGGCAGAGTATCACAACAGTAGCGATCCTTGTTGTCTGTCTTTCCCCGCTAAACACCAAAGAAGCACATGCGTTCCTCCTGATCCAGACTGCGTGTGCATATGAAGCTGATTCAACGGACCTACAGGACATCCTCCTCTTGGCTCTGCCTCAGCTGGTTAGAGGCATCAGTTAACTGGAGCCTTTAGAGGAACAAAAGTGTTTTTTTTCCCCCTCCATGTTGCCAATGGCATTCTTAACTACTCCTCGCGAGTCTAAGGTCGGCCCAGAAAAGCATAAAATCTGGTTAGCCATTTCCACTACCCCCCCCAAGCCCTGTTAGTGATCCATCATGGGACCTATGGGCATATGTGGCATAAATTGTGTGTGTAAGATTATGTGTGGGAAATACTTAAATGCTTATGCGTAAGTGATTCCAATTGTTGGCTAAATGTAGCTTATTGTATGTATGATCATGCACGTGTGGTCCATCTCTGCTGAGGCCCACAGGTTAGTCTGCAGTGGACAGTTTGGTATTAACCTTTAATTGGTGATGTATTGTGTACAGTGGGAACGCTGCAGTTCATCATCTCGAGACGGCCTGGCAGAAAGTCCTCCTGCCACAAATAACCAGATCTGAAGCTATTAGCAGATCCTCAGTGTAGCTTAGTCAGTGAGCTTTACTTACCCTGGCTAGCCTCTAAATGGAAGTGACTACAGGCAAAGGTGAGGGTGAAACACAGTCCTAAAGGGACACAGCTGCAAGCTAGATTGATAGGTTCGATAGGAGTGTGTGTGTGTGTGTGTTAGGCCTTAATGTTTGTTGTTGAATGAAAGATGTAATGTTGATAGCTGGAAACACATTTCAGATCCCATAGGTGGTTTCTTAATCCTCACACTATTAGGTGGCCATCTGGACCCACTTCAATGTCCTGCCTGTTCCATCTCTTTACCTGCCACAAATGTTTACACCGCATCCAGCTGGGCTCTGAGCAGAACAGAATAGCCAGTATTTGACCTTGACCGCGAGCGTCTGAAAGTGGTCCTTTGTATGTCGAAGAATTGATGAGGCCCGGCGGGTCAGATAATAGAATCCGAGCGTGCGCATTCAGAGTAGGATTTGCGGGTCGACCGAAGTCACTGCCGAGCAACTGGTCCGCTGAAACTGAATGAGGTTTTATTTTTGGTCTCTGTATAACCCAGATCCTAATATCATGGGTGCAGTAGTTGCAGCAGGAAGAGCTATCATGTGGATTAGTCATGCTCAGGTGGTTCCCTCAATGTGACCATGAAAAGCGATGCGGTGGATAGAACCCCAGGTTGCTCAAGTAACGCCGCATTTAGTGGCTGCTAAACGCTATTGATTGTATCTCGCTGTGACTGAGCCCTCGGGGACGTGAGACATATGGCCAGTTCAGCATCTCCGTTACTGGTCACAGATGTGGGCCCAGTTTAAGACACATAGGGGACTGTTTTATAACTTCACACTTCCAGCAGCTCATCAATGTACTCAGATTGCAGTCAGGCAATTTGTACATGCTGAATAATCTGCGGCTTACTGTGTCACCTAATCTTTAACCCCTTTGTGCACTCTGGTAATAGATAACAGCCAAACATCTCCCACTGTCTTCCTTTTTCATGCACACGGATTAAAGTGTAAATCCTGCTCGATTACTCTCTTCAGTGGACTCTCTTTAAAAAAAAAAAATTTAAAAAAGGGCACACAGTCCAGAAGTAAAAGAGTACTTCATGTTATGCTGCTGCTGATAGAATATGCTGGTTTGATGCTAATGAGAAGATTAAAATGGAGGGAAAAAATTGGGAAAACCAGCAACATTTTGCCAATGGGAAGGCACATATACATAGAGAGCTTTCCCAGGCCTTTCTCCTAGCCGCTTAATGCGTCTTGAGTTGTGTGTCTGCAGGCGAGAACAGTTCAGACTTGCTTTTCTTTTCCTTTCTTGCACTTCATAGCACAGATCTCCAGTCCACCCCCCACTCCCCCCAACTCCAACCCCAAACCTCCCTCCTCCTCCTCCTCCTCCTCTTCTTCTTCCTTGTACACTCCGTCTCAATCTCCCATGGTGATTAAAAATTGAGTTCCCACCCACTGTGGGAGAGAGAGAGAAGGGGAAAAAAAAGTGAGAACACAAAAAATGCTGCGCAAAAGAGGTTGCTGAGAGGTTAAAAGTAGACGAGTGAAAGAAGAAGCAGGAGAGAGGGAAGTAGTGAAAGAGAAAGACACAAAAGGAGAGAGAGAGAGAGAGAGAGAGAGAGAGATGGGTAAATCACCTCCGGCTTTACTTTGTGTAAACTTTTGTGAAGGAACTGCCATTTTCCTGGTGATGCCCTTCACAAATAGAGACTAAATGTTTGTGTTTGAAATGGAGTGGGGCTAAACATAGTGCATAAAGGAAGTAGAGTGGGGGGAAGGCACAAAAAGAACTCGGTACAGTCTGAAAGACCCCCTCATCACTGCTGCTTTTACTCACAGTACCCTCAGCGCCTTGCCCCCGAATTTCAATGGTTTTCTGTAGCAGCTTGCTCTTCCTCTATACAAAATTGTAGTCTTTCTAGCAGCTAATAATTTGAGTTTTCCCCTTCAGCTGTTTCTGTACCGTGTGAAGCTAATGCTTTAAACTTCATAAGAATGCTGTGGAAACATCTATCGTAGCAAACACTTCATTCAGAGCGTGAAGTAGCTTACCGCCCTCTTCTCAACACTGGTGGCAGGTCATCAATGATGAATCACACACAGAATAGGAAATGTTCTACTATCAGGAACTAACCTCCGTGGTTTTTAAAAATTTCTGTTTCAGTGGTCACCATCCTTTCGAGGTCACATGCGGACCGTAACGTCTACCCGTCTGCAGGAGTGCTGTTCGTCCACGTTCTGGAGAGGGAGCACTTCAAAGGAGAGTTTCCTCCTTACCCAAAATCAGGTACAACGCCATCACATTTCCTGCACTTAGATGTCAAATGAATAGTGTTGTTAGTGTATTTAAATGTCTAAATACCACTTTTGTAAAGGTAGTTACTGGCCCAATTCTTGTATAAATTCCACAGTGCATTGTCTATTCATTATATTTCACTGGGAGGAAATGCTCAGCTGCTATTGGCAGCACATCCCTAATTCAGCTAAAAGGTCTAAATGTACATTATTGAATTGGTGCTGACCCGTAACAAATCACTGTGCCACCCCTCATTAAGCCGCTCTGTGTGCAGGCGATGCCAGCAACGACCCGATCACTTTCAACACCAACCTGATGGGCTACCCCGACAGGCCGGGCTGGCTGCGTTACATCCAGAGGACTCCACACAGCGACGGAGTGCTCTATGGTTCCCCCACTGCAGAACATGTTGGCAAGCCCAGCGTCATAGAGGTGGGCGTTTGGACCACGTTCAGAGTGAAATAGAGCGGCGATGAAGTCATTTGTGCTGCTGTTTATCAAGCCAAGGATAGAAAAGGAGATGCTGTTTTTGTGCTTAAAGTGTTGAACAGTATTAAAACATTGAGCTGAAAGAATCTGTCAAGTTTAGTTAAATGAATGGTAGACGTTGTCATGTATTTGTATTGTGTGCTATAAAGGTAATAGAGAAGTAACACATTTGATTTGATTTTACTGAGTCTAGCTAATTTGTATGCATTTAGTCGTGCAATAGTGCAATATTATGCTTGGAGTCTTTAGGCTTAAATCCCATTATGTTTTTTTATGCTTCCTTTGTCCCCTATAAGCTACTGTAGACATTCTTTTCCCAAAAGGCTTAACGTTTCCAGCGGGCCACATGTGCGCTATACGGTCCTTTAGCTGGTTACGGAACCTGCGTCGTGTATCCAGCTCAGCCTTGTCCATAGAGCTGCTGCCATATAAGCTGCACTGATCTGGGCTTAAACTCTCACCCCTGTGTGTTGCAGATTACTGCCTATAACAGACGCACTTTCGAGACGGCGCGGCACAACTTGGTCATAAACATCATGGCCACCGAGGGTAAGAGGCGCCAGTGTGAGGGCTTAGAGCAAACCCAGATCAGACTGTGCAACTTCCCTGATTAAATCCTGAGAGCAAATTCGGTGCTTGGACTGTGTAATGGGCTTCCCTCAAGAGAAAATGTTGACGTTGATTACTTTTTATCAAGCACAACTAATCAATCTGTGTCTAAAGACAAACAGCATATTTGAACATCCATCAGCAGAAGGAATAATCTCACTACAGGGTCCACTTAGTAGCTGTTCTATAGCTTTCAGTCACGTCACATGATTTTCATCAGCGGATGCAGTTTGCCCAGTTTTCTTTGAACTTCTTCAGGGCTCAGAATAAAATGGAATCTACATTTTCACGACAACTTAGCAAACACTGTCTTCTAATGAAGATTATGTGACATGATCAAAAGCTCTGGAAAAGACGTAAACTAAAACATGTCTTCATTGATTTTCGGTCTTGTGGTGATCTTTGATGCTGCCGATCAACCACACAAATTCAGGAAGACATGCTGTGTGTATTTTAAAGTTCGAGTTATGAGTTCCCACAGTATTTCTGGGAAAGCAGCCATTACTACTCATTTCTACAACTTCACCTCACATCTGTGCATGTGTATGTTAGCTCGCTGGCTGGTTGACCAGTCACGGTACATGTCGTACAATAGGAAGTGAGTCGGGGGAATGCTCAGCAGCTGTTTGCAGCGCTAATGTGACATCACTCTCCCTTTGCTGTGATGTCATCTGCCATCTGGCCCCAGAAGGAGGCCAAGTCATAACAGAGCAGAGCAGACACACCAGCGTCTGCCGGACACACTGGTAAACTCAGTGTCCGCTATGCAGCAATAATAAAGCAATAATGATGTCAACAGAGCACCACTGCAGTGTTTCTCTTGTCTCAGTTTTATGGATTTTAATGGCCTTCTTTTCAGCTTTGCTCTTGTCTTACCCACCACGTCTTTTTCTCTGACTCTTACCTCTTTGTCTCACAGAGTTCCCCCTGCCCTACCAGGCAGAGTTTTATATCAAAAACATGAATGTGGAGGAGATGCTGGCCAGCGAGGTGCTGGGGGACTTCCTGGGAGCGGTGAAGAACGTATGGCAGCCTGAGCGGCTCAATGCAATCAACATTACCTCGGCACTGGACCGTGGCGGCCGTGTACCTCTGCCCATCAACAACCTAAAAGAAGGGTGAGGACCTGCACCTGCATCACAGCGTCTTTAACAGTTCATGTCTGAGGAAAATCTGCTTTGGTTACAGCTAATTCATTTTTTC